TGAGGTAAAGATCGTGCATCGGTGCCGGTCCTGGATTGCACGAGAGAACCTCAAAGAGCAGGCGCTGTAGAACGGCGTCAAGCTGCAGACATGGTGGCCGAGTATCCGCAGTAGCAACATGCCTTCCCCAAAGGACTGTGAGCCGGTAAACAAGACTCTGATCCTCAACTGCAGGAGTAGTGGTGGTGGTAGAGGTCGGCCCACCGACAAGGCTGCCTGCACTGCTGCCAGGGGGCATGAAAAAGGGGGAGGCTGAATCTTCGACCCTGAAGTGTTGAACTTGCTCCAGGTCCTGTGGGAGCGAGCCTCCTACGAAGCCTAGCGCGTCCAGGACCACGACTTGACTAGTCAAAATGTCGTCGCGCAGTTGCGGCAGCTCTGCCTGGGCGTTTTGTATCTTACCAGCGCATGAAGCGATGCTCTCGCCTGGCATATGTCCGATCGTCCTGACCGGACCGCCCAGCGGACGCAAGTCCCAGGGGATCGGTGAAAGGAATGGGGCATCACGCACATTCCCGAGTATGAGCTGCGGGCGGGGGAATCCATGGAGCGGCATCGTGAGGACTTGTACAGACCGTACATCGAACGGCGCTCTGCGGACTGCAGCTCTGGCGATGGTCTGCAGAGAGTCTCTAGGACTTCGTCGTTGCAGGGTCCAGTGCCTAGATTCGTCGAACACAGTAAAGGCGTCGTCCCGGTCACCGTCCACACCCCCCCATGAAAAGGTGCAAGCTGGCGCGTCCATGAACCTGGCACCAAGGTAGTCGGGCAGCAGAAGAGGCTCCTCTGCTATTTTGCAAACCTCGGCGGTTGCATGTGCCAAGGCCGGTTGTACCTTGGTAAGCAGTGATGGGGGCTCGGCGGGTGGCACAGTAGGAACCTCAACAGGCGCAGCCAGAACTGGCAGCTGAGTGGTTGTAGAGGTGACTGCAACGGCATGGGCGCAGGTGGTGGTGACTGTGGAAGAGGATCGGCCTGCGACCGGCGCCGGGGGTGCCCGGGGTACTCGCAAAACCTGTTCTGGACCTCCAACATATTGCACTGTAAGTGCTCCCAACGCCGTCGGGTCCTGCATCCTGATGCTCAGCCATTCAGGTGAGCCAGGCTGGTCGTCAAGATGCCTGAGCTCATCGCCGACCTCGTTCACGAAGTTGCAGAGGCCATCCTGATGGGCTCTTTGAAGTGCTCCATCTGGGTCAACCCCCTTGTCTCTGCGCAGGATATCCCAAATGTCATCCAACGGTCCGGGGATAGCAAGCTCAATGGTGTGGAGCATGCCACCGAGCGGTCTGAGATCGACCGGTATTGCTCTGAAACCTGCCTGTGCGCTGGCTGGTGTCAGCACAAATTGCGGAGTGGGGAGGTCAGGGAGCGGGTGCGTAACATACCAGATTAACCTCACTCTGTACGCGACCGCCCTGGTTGCAGCAGCAATGTAGTCTAGCAACGACCATTGTGCTAAAGCAGCCCTGCGAAGATAGTCGACGCGGGGTTCGGCCACGAGAAAGCGGGCACGCTCCTGTGTGTCCGACAAGGTGTCGGCCAGCCCACGGGCCCCGAAAGGGGACATGTGCAACAGAGGTCCTTGCAGCCAGTCGGGCCGGAGCGGCACATGTGATGCAATCATGGCCCGCAGGTCGCTGATCATGCCTACCTGCCTGCTTTCTCCTCGAGGGGCCACACCAGGCATGCACACGAAATCGTGAGGAGGGTTATGAGCCTTGGCACCTACACCTGGGACATGTGCGGCGCTACCAGCAGGGTCGCTGCGACAGGGACCAAACCCCTATCCTACACCCCCCTCTAGAACCCACACCGAGGTCCATGCTGGAGGTCGACAAGGCACCGCCCCAGTCATGGCAAGGAAATGCAGGTGTGGCATGGTGCGACAGTGGGCGACAGAGAACCGAGAGGTCGCGACTCCATCGGTTGGCGCTGAGGTGAGGCCCGTCCTCGAAAGAGACTCTCAAAGGGAGAGGATGGGGGCAGCTGCGCAAGGCCGCCGGAACCTGTACAGAGAAACTACTATGTACATTCGCTTTCTCAGACCCTTGAACTAGCTGAGGCAGGCTTGTCCACCCATGGCGAAGCAGGGGCCCATGCGCGTCTGGCTCAACTCCCGGCTGGAACATGCGCGCGACAGGAACCTGGAAGCATGGACCCCGTGCCTCAGTATGGAAGCCAAGCTCTCCCCCAGCATAGCTCCAATCATCATGCGGTGGCGTCCAAAGAAAACGTTTGGCCTCTGGCGTAGTCTCGTCAGGCCGGGGATCATCGAGCAGGGAGAAAAGTCGCTCTGCATCGGATTTGATCTCAAACTCGTGCAATCAGCTGTGCAAACTCTGGCGGCACGAAATCCTCCTCGTGCGCCACGCTCAGGCTCCATTGACCTGAGCAATCATGTAGATAAGGCCCTTGCCCGCTGCTGGAGCTGACACAAGGGCCTACTTGGGGGGCGGCTGCTGCTGTCCAGAGCCACCACCAGATGCAGGCGCGGCCGGACCTGTAGGCGAAGCCTTTGCGCTTGGGGCTTCCTCCTTGACCTTGGCCTCGTCGACATCCGGGCTGGAGTCCACAGCCATGGCCTGCTTCTGGCGACGCGGGGTTCTCGACCCCTCTCTTGGCAGTGCAGCACTGGCCTGCCGTTTCGCGGCTTCCAGGGTCTCCATGAGAGACGCCAGCTGCTTCGTAGAGCGCTCCCCCATCTGCTGCTGCAGTGCCTCCTGCTCTATGGCCTGGCCCACCATGTCCTATGGGCCTCTGGCTTGGCACTGTGCGTCGACTGTGCCAACTGCATGGTGGCTTCGGAGAGCTGTTTTTGCCATCCCTCCTCCGACTGGTCGAAGGAGTCCAGCGTCTGCTGCCTCTCCTCCACCTGCTTGGCCACCAAGTCCACCAAACGATCCAGATAGTCGCTCCACGTTTTCTCGAAGGTGCTGCGAGCGGTCGCCAGTTTGGAGAGCTCCCGCCTGGCCTGGGTCTGCTTGGCGACGAGGGAGTGCAACTGCCTGCCGTGCAGATTGTGACTTTCTGTACGGTATTGTGTCACAAGAGCCTCCACTTCCGGAGACAACACCGTCCCCGCTGTCGTGATCTGGGCTACCAGAGTGTCCAGAAGCCGACGGTCCTCTGTCACTTGGCTGCCACTGCTCTCGGCACTTCCCTTCGGAGGGGCCGGTACTGTAACCTGCGGTGGGGCCGGCAGCTGGGAAACGTTCGGGGCCGTCGTGGGTCTGTCGCCACGCCCCTCTTGCACCTTGCCTCGGCCGCGGCTGCCCTTCGAAGCTGTATTTGTGCTTCCTGGGCCCGGCTTTCCACCACCTTTGGAGCGGGTTCGCGGCGATCTCGGTCTGGTCCGGGGGGAGTTCGTCCGCGCCCCGGTGTATGTCCAGCCACCAGGAGGCGGCTGTTGCTGCCACGACTCCTGCCACCCGCGTCCACACGACGAACAGAAATTGGCCAATGCCCGATTGAAGATCCGGCACTGGCCACATTTCCACCCTTGGCTCATCCCTGACGAGTGATGCTGCCTCAGCAGCCTCCTCGCTGCTTCCAGTTGTATAGGGCACGGCGCAACCCAGTTCGAAGAGCTTGCTCTCAAAAGGGTTCTTGCAGCTGTGCGCTTCCTGCGTTGCCGTCTGTGCCACGCAGGTTCGGACACCCAAGTGTCCCTGGAAGGCCGCTTCGTGGCCGGCACTCACCCCAGAGGCCCAGCAGAAGCTGTAGATCAGGAACGAAATGAAAACTCCAGTCAGGGCTGGCAAACCCATGCGCAGCGGCCCAACAGAAGCCAGTGAGGGGGCGCGACTCCCCGGAAAGCGCAGATTCCAGTCACACCTAAGTGTGAGGAAGATCCAAACTACCCTCGCAAGGCGTACAGGTAGCAGGATATGTTGGAGCAGCTCCTCGATGGCCAGCTGCAAATCGGCGCGGGCACAAACTCTTGCCACGCGTGGGGTCACGACCCAAGAAACCCGGACTCCCTAGGGAGAAACTACGGGCCTGGGCCGAAACGCCTGAAGCAGTGGCCTTAACAATTTGAATGCGCTTCGCGGTAAATCACAGTACAATACAACTGTAGAAGGACGAAAAGAGCATACCACTAACCGTTTCAGAAAACCACAATTTTCAAGATCACACAGCCCTTACCAATGCACACATGTGTGTGTGTGTGTGTGTGTACTTTGTTGCCAAGCCTGTGTCGCGCTCCGCAGGAAGAGCTCGTGCACCACGTCCGCATGGTCCAACACCAGCACCAAGCGCAGCCCCAAGAAACCAACCCCCCGCGCCAAGATGCCAAGCCAAATTCCAAGCCCGCTCGGCGCGAAAGCCAGAGCTTATACCTCTGGTTCCAGAAGCCGGAGAAACATACTTCTTGCATGTTCAGCATTCGACGTTCCCCTTTATGCCGTTATAGCAGAAATGCCAAAGATACAACCGAAATAGGATACGTTTGCAATTACCGAAGGTTTTGCGCGGGCTTGCACCATGCTGTGCACTCAAGAATTCTGTTCATGTTGAACCAGCGTGTGAAAGCACGAAACGAAACTGCTGCATGCAACGACGCTGAGAGTATTTCCAGACCCGCCAGAACTGCAACAATGCCACAGCGACGTGGTTCGGAGCACCGCTACGCGATGTGGTTCGCTGCCGCGTGGTTTCAAACATGAGATACAGCAAGACAAGTTCAACAACAGTCCGTGTTAACGACAGCCTGGGACAACATCCTGACAGCGCGTCCAGGCAAGGCCAAGCAACGGACTTCTCGCAGCGGCATTTGAAACCTACGTCAGGCAAAGGAGAAACTACCAGGTTGGCCCCTGCGGCTCTTTGAACAGCGCTGCAACCCAACAAGGCAAGAATTTGAACGCTGAATACATAAACCACTACATAAGAGCTTTCACAAAACCTCATTGGCCCCCAATGGGCCCAAAAGGCCATAGAACTCATTGCCCCCAATGGGCCCAAAAGGCCATAGACACCCCATTGGGGCCCGCGACAGCGCAGCTGATAGCCAGGGCCACGCTCACGGAACAGATCTCGGAGGAGAGGGCTTCGGCAGGGGTTTAAGTGCTTTAAGGCTTAGAGGGTTTGGGGTTTAGAGTTTTAGAGCCTCAGCGTTTGAGGTTTAGGGCTTCAGAGTTTGAAAGCTTTCGGAATTTTGGAGTTAGTTGTGCAGTTTCGGGTTTAAGGCGGTTGGAGTTCAGGCTTCAAAGATTGCAAGCCAAAACCACAAAGGTCTCAGCGTTCCGTATTGAGGTTCTGCGGCTCAGCTATGAAAAGGGTCCGGCCTAGGAACTGGGACTAGGGCGTATGGTGTGTAGGGTGTGGAGTTTGCATAAGTCTTCAGGTTTCGGACCGTGTAGATGGGCTGCACGTTACCAAGATGATGAGAAGAAAGCCCTACCAGGCCCACTAGGCCTACTGGGCTCAACGAACTAGCGTCCTCGTCACCATGCTACAAGTGAAGTCGTAGCGTTAAGATTCGTCACGGTATCTGTGGCAATGCTCCAGTATGTGCCCAGCCCTCGACCATGAACCTTCAAACTGCTACACCCTGCTACACACCCCAACCTGAGCCCTGCGTCCAAAAGCTACTGCCGCCATGCCGCAGAGAGCAACACGATGGTCCAGAGAAGTGCCCTGAGAGCTCATGCTTCAAGGCTCAAGCTCATAGGGCCCCGAAGCAGCACATAAGCAAAGTCGGGATAAGAATATCACATCCAGTAACCCTTTTTCACTTTTACTTACTTAGGCCAGGGAGGTCGCGATATCCTATGACAATTTCATGCTTATGTGCTTCTTTACGGCACTACTTCCCTAATGCCCACGGAAAACATTGCTGAAGGTCCCACGGAAAGAAAACAAGGCCATGATGTACTGAAATCTGCAAAATCTTGTGTGACCGAATGAAGTCCTTGTCAAGCCCCTTCTGAGATGGTGCCCTAAACCCTAAGCCCCGCGATTGAGCCCCGATGAACGCCCTCCCATCTCCCAAACATCCACTAAGCCCAAATTTTACCGCCACTAAACCAACTAAGCCATGATATAACCTCTCAACACCACATAAACCCTTACGAAACCCTCTATACAACCCCCTAAACCACAAGCATTAAACCCTCCAACCTCTACTAAGCCCCCACTGGGCACCAGACCAGAAATTGCCGTTCAAGGACCTCAGAACGGGCGAAACTTCCGAATGGAAGCCCCCAGGGGTGGGTTTAGGATCGAGGTTTCAGAGCGTCGGGGGTTCAGGTTTTGGCGGGTATAAGGCTTAGAGCTGGCACGGGCTTCTTGCCGGCATGGAAAACTTGTAAGGGATTTCGCACTTATGCAGGGCCTCAGGTCTGAACAAGTAGTGCCATTCTTTGGCATTCTCTGCTACAGTTGCAGCCAAGAGACCTCCCCAAGCAGTGATCCAATCACTCAGGCTTCTATCCTGTAGGGTTTCGATTATAGAGCTGTGGGTTAAGGATTTAGGGCTTTGGGAGTTTAGGGCTTGGGGTGTCTATCGTGCAAAATTTCGGGCTGAGAGCGTTTAGGGTTTGGGGCTTGAGGTTGGGCGCTTTGGGTATTTAGGACACAAGGTTTCAGCTTGAGGGTATTGAGGCGGCGACTTCAACAAGACATTGGGATATTTCTAGTGCTTTGATGTTGTTTCGATTAATATTATTCCGTTTGCTATTATGATTATTACTCTTATTATTAGACTTCGAGCAAAACCAACGCACCTGCCCTCACCCAGGCTTGGGACAGCGGTTGAACAACAACTTGTGGAAGAGCCCGCGTCTCAGTGCATGGCAAAGCACCATAGCCGGAACTACGATGACACTCACCGAACCTCAACGCCGAATACAGGGGTTTGGGGGGTATATTGCACCCGATTACGTCCTACCTAAATTCTGCAAGCACTAGAAGCCCTCCACCCGAAAGCGCACTGTGCCCACTCCATGCTCTGGGCGCAAGGCATGACAACATAGCACAGCCCGAGCCTTGGACCAGGTAACGAGGGTAGAGGACTCGGCCTAGGGTCCCGACTAGTACGGCACCCTTACAAAAAGGGCCCTAAAAGTGACCCTAATTCAGAGAACCACCCAGAGGGCTGCTGCATTGGGAAACCCTACCGAACAGCTAAACAGCCAAGGGTGGGTTAAGCCTCAACAATTCATGACCGCAAACGCCCATCTCCTAAACCTCGACCATAAAAGCCTCAAGCTAGCCACAAGCCTGAGTCTTAGTCTTCCAATGTCAACAATAAGCGCGAGAAATGCTCGAGCCTAAGCCCGAAACAGAAAGCCTAAATCCTGAAACCCGAAAACCGCGAGACCCCCAATCCGAAATTAACAGCAATCTCTTTTGGGGGTTCGGAGGGTTGCGGCTTTTTAAGGCTTATGGTTCTAGGGCTTGGGGTGTATGTTTTTTAGTTTTGGGGCTTAGGGTTTCGGGCTTTAGGGTTTATTGAGGGTTTAGGGTTCAGGGCTTAGAGTTTAGGGGTTTTAGGCTCACGGTTTTTTCTCGAGTTTTGTCCCTTCCCTGACTGAGCCGAGAAGCGTCATCAAAGATTGGATGAAGACCAAAGGCACCTGCCAAGCTGATTTCCTTACCGGGCTTTGAAGACACGGGTATCCTGAACCCTAAATCCAAACCCCTACACCCTAAAACGTACCTCCTAACCCTAAATCCTACGTCCTAACCCTAAACCAAAACCCCTACAGCCTAAACCCCATATCTTAAACTCTACATACTAAATCCTGAGCCCCCTGGAGGCTGAAGTTTCGGGCCTGGAAAAAGTTGTGGCTCGGACCCGAAATTCCAAAGCCCAACAGCCCAAAAGCCCAAAAGCCCTCGGGGACCCAGGGCCGAGTCCCAATGCACTAATGCTGAAACATCCCGCTGCGCGTTTCGGGTTTAGGGTTTAGGGTACGCCTGATGTTCCACGGTTTGTAGGCGCACTTGGAAGCTACATACTAGTGCAAAGCACGGCAGAGCCCTAGGAGGAAGCCTTTTCAGTCAAGATCGGCAGAAGCCAGCAAGCAACTTCCATGCGCTTCTGAAAACAATGATCTCGGTTCGTCTGTTCTTCTTCCATGGCGAGCCTCCCCCATCTAATATAGGGGCCTTAATAATCAAAATAAGGTTTTGGGGTATACTATACTAAAACTAAAAGGAACGCCCAAAATAGTATAGGTAATTATTTGGCCCACTAGCTAGAGGTTCGTCACATCAAATACACCCGAAGGCCAAAACCATCTGATCCACTACGCGACCTGCGCCCCTAAACGCTCCTGAACCCGAACCGTCATCGTAATAGTCCGACAGGTGCGGTACACCTCCGGTCCACCGAGGTTTGGTATCTGCGGGGGTTTCGGATCTCTAATGACCGCCTGCTGCGAGAAGATTTCGGGCTTTTCGGGGTTTCAAACCCCAAACCCTAAACCAAGCTTCTATCAGGGTTCCATGAAGGCTCTCGGGTTTTAGGGCTTTTGGGGTGTCTTTCGGGCTTTAGGGTTTTGGGGTTTACGGTTATGGTCGAAAGCCTACGTGTCTGCATTACGTTCGGAAACACACTTCTACGCTTTTGTAATCTAGAGCCCTGATAAATAACTGTATCTCTTGAAGGGCCTCGATGGTAGAATCCCTAGTAGCATCACTGTTGAGGCAGGGGAAGTGCTAATCAAGGTCCACAGTGCTTACCGCAACTCCGTCGATACTTCCCGAGCCTTAAACCACACGACCATAGGAAGCCATGAAGGTTGAGGTCCCAAGAGGCCCGGGTTTGTAAGGGTTTAGGGTTCTCTCGAATTCCATGACTTTTGGGCTGAGGGCTCCTAGGGTTTCCAGCTCAGGGCTTAGGCTTAAGGCTTGCAGGTCTGGGGTTTCCTGGAGACTGAACATCTTTCCAATCACGAGCCCAACGCCATGAACCGACGGAAAGCTGCAACCTTACTTTCCGAGGCAAGGCCATCGAATCTCGTTCTAGGGAGTTTCCCCTGCGTTGAAGAATATTTTGAATTGCGATGGGACCTTCCCCTTCGCTGAAGAATAATTTGAAAGCGATGCGACATGATGCCTCCTCTGGCAAGAAAAGAGGACTCTAACAAAGAGCTTTGCCCTTGCAATGAAAATCACAACACCCTTTTGCAAGCACGGCAGTCTGGCACAGGCTTCGGGATTTTGGGAGTTTGAGGCGCCAAGGGTTTCCCTTCAGCGTCCAGCTTTGCTGAGTCTAACATTTTACTTGTTTGTAAACTTGTCATGTCGAGGTTCGGGGCTGAGATGTCAACGAAAGATTTAGTGCTTTAGTGCTTTAGGGATGGGCCATTCCTCGAAGCTCAGGCTCAGACTACTCGCCGCGCGAGACCGTTTTTCTCAAGACTCGTCTGTACCGCCAGGCGTATAAAGTGACAAGCCCTGCAAACATAGCGGCTGCAATCGGGATCATTCGAGGTTTTTTCGGGAAGCTCACCACTGAGAGAGGAAACCAAAAGCAACCGAGCAGGACGAGATCCAACACGAAAACGACTGCGACAGCCTTGCACATCGACATTGTTGTCGCCAGAGTAGCACTGATGCTCAATGTGGCTGATGCAAGCCAGAAAAAGAAGAGCGAAATCGCTGGCACCTGCAAGTACATGACGACCCATTGCCAGTACTTCCAATCAGGACCTTCCCCTGAATGTGCCCTGAGGCGATGGATGGCCATGTGCAAATACCTGGAATTTTGGGGTGTAGGGTTATGGCCCCCAGCCCAGATTGCGAGTTCGCGGTTCACGTGAGATTCAGAGAACAAGCAACCCAGAGATAGACCTCCGTAGCATGAGGACTCCCGGCAAGACACTAACTGTCAAGGAGACCCCGACACATGTTTACAAACATCAGACATCAGAAAAGCCATGTAACCCTGCTAAAGCCCTCATCTCGATAACTCGATAAGAAGAGAGCTTTGGGTTTAGGGTTTGGGATTTAGAATTTAGGGCTTAGGGGTGGGGAGTCTTCCTCGAAAGGGTCTGCCTGCTTTGGTTGCGGCTGCTTGCGGTTGTGGACTTAGGGCTCAGAGTCGTTCAGAGTTCAGGCTTTAGGCTGCAGGGCCAGCGAAACTGGAAGGGCACATGATGGACATATCCACGACTAGCAAAAACTAGAGTTGCAAACCATAGCAAGAAGCACATGACAACTACTGTTGCAACAATAGCAAAACAGGGCAAAGATCACGTTAACAACAATCATCGTAAAAAAAAACTGTTACCATTCTCACAAAAAAAATTACACAAGCTGCCTACCCTTTGAAAATCCGACCCAGATGCTGCGGCAGGAGACCCAGCGGCGAGATGGATGCCATGGCGAGCACCAATCGCAGGGGCGGAGCGCCAGATCCGAGCTTCTCGAGGACGCACCTAGGTTTCGGCAACAGCCACTTTGGGCCGGGGGTCCCGAGTCTAGGCTTTAGGCTTTAGGGTTTAAGGGTCTGCCTGAACTCCCTGAACTGGGCTTTGATTCCCGGCACCTCTCCCCTAAACCCTAAACCCTAAACCCCAGACCCAAGCTTCAGGATGCCAAGAGACACCCTCAGCTGCTCGCGCACGAGAGTGTCAAAACGATCGAGGTAGTCCTTCTCGGGGTCACGGCTGGCACATCTTTAATGCCCTGAAGCTAACCCTGCAACCGTGAAATGCAATACTGCCTCACGACTTAGCACTGACCTTTCGGAAGTTTCCCAAGCATGGAATAAGACTGTCAGACTCTGGAAAAGGACCCAGTGCTCTTCACCCTAAACTGTGTTCCTCAGTATCAGAATACCACCGTCGAAGCGTCTGGAACACCAACGATCTGCAAGGTCGGGTCTTGCTCGGAGTTGGTTCCCAGGGCCACTTACTATCCCTGCTGACCTTCTGGGGGTTTTCGGTCGCGGGTTTTCGGGTTATTGGCTTCTTCAAGCGCCCCGGAAGCCACGTAAGATTGCAGATGCTGGCCTGTCACACAGGATCGGCTCGCCAGTGGAGGGGTGCACGTGGTCAAAGGCGCAGCAGGCGCACTGCGATTCTCGGATGCTAAAGCCTCGCATCCTGACTGCTTCGGGGTTGAATGCCAGGGTTTGACGTCAAGGGTTCCACATGGAAATACAGAGGCTTTAATAATTAGTGTGGGAGATGATGTGCATTGCCCTTGAGGTGTACGCGGCCGCCCCTACCCATGTGCTGCAGTTCCTAGCACGTGAGCGGGGTTGGGGTGGGCACATATCAGTGCAAACGAAGTTTTACGCAGCTTATGACGCCAAAGTCACGGACCTCTGCGACAATCTTCATGTGGTCTTTGCTGGTTGGTGAAGCTGGGAGGTGACTCGAGGATGTGTTCGGCTGCGTTTGCGTTGTGCAGGGCTTTGTGACAGGTGAGTTCGCGGGCCGGCCTTTGTCTCAGAAAGCCGGGGATTGCGGATCTCAGAAAGTGGGGGGCCAATGCAGTTCATCAGCAAGGCGAGTTTGGTGGTTGGGGGGGGCGCCCAACAACTGGTGCGGTGGCTCATGCCCAGTGGCCTCCAAGGACAGGAACGGTGGCCGCAGCATCATCTTTTTGAAGCATGCCCCAATTGATGCGCATTGCCCTTAAGGTGCACGCGTCCCCCCTACCTACTACCCATGTGCTGCAGTTTCTAGCACGTGGGCGGGGTTGGGGTGGGCACGTATCAGTGCAAACGAGGTTTTACGCAACTAGAATACGGTATATTGCTAAGTCATAATCACTTTCGAACCCTAAGGCACAGTACTAGTATGTAATTATTAATGGTTCGATTACTTCAATGTAGCGGCGCAAGCCTTGGAGTGGATGAACATTGGTCAGCGGAAACGACTCCAAAGATATTCAAAAAACAACACGGTGACTTTCTGTATTTGTTGAAGATTCTGCCCCTCCAGCTTAGACATCTCGAGCAGATGCTGCGTGCCAAAGTAGATCTGTGCGAACAGAGATGCGAACATGAAGGGACCAAGAAGGCCGGCTGCAAAAAGCATTATATCGAAGTCTTTCTTCCCAAAGTTGCCGAGCTCTTCGATCGTCAAGAAGATGTGAAATATCGTCCAGAATGAAGTGTTTGCTAGGCCTGGGCTTAGAGTGTCATATAGGAGCCATGTAGGGATCTAAGGAATATCATTGTTATTTGCTGTTGCGAACCCTAGCCAAGACGAAGACGAAAACCCTTCAGCAACAAATGCTCAGGTCTTGAGGCATTGAAACAGTAGTTGAAACACACATCCAGAGCCATAACCCTCGAGGGTATACTTGCCAAGGCACAGGTCAGCATCACAAGCGCTGGCATAGCGACAGGAACGATTTGAACGGGCCGATTGCTGTCGCGATCTTCGGGCTTCAGAAATCCTGCATTTTGTTCGAGGTCATCCACCAGGCCCTATTACGGGCTATACAGCTTGAAAAGGTGTCTTTTTTCCACGGGCGTCGATATCTCCTACTTGACGAATATGCCCGAGACCTCTCTTCGACGAGTTTCCTATCATGGCTTACGTAAGGAATGCACTTCGTAGCGGGGCATGGGCTCCTTGAGTATCCAGCCTGAACCCGCAAGAAGTTGAGGTCCTACCGCCTAAATCCAAAACACTCAGCTCGAAACCCCAAAGCTCCCAAAGTAAACCGTAGACTTTACACCCTGAAGCCCATACCCTACACCATGAGTTCGTGGGCTCGTATCAAATTCACGGCTAGAGACCAACTTAAGGGTCTGAGTTTGCATGGCGTGAACGATTTCGAGGATAAAAGTTTCAGGACTTCCAGCTCAAGGATACGACTCAGGGCTTCGAAGAACACCAAAACGCCTGAGAGCTGACCCGCAGGGTCTAGAGCTCTGTGGATGCAGGGTGTGGCCATTGCGGGCCAGTGTTTAGGGTTTTGCCGGCACGCAGTCCCAAGGTTTGAGTCTTAATTCGACCCGAAACGCTTTCGGCTACAGGGGTTACCGATTTAGGTCTTGCAGGTTTTGGGGTTTAGGGTTTAGGGTCGGTTTAATGTTTGGTTTTGAGGACGTCTTGGGAAGCCCGTCTTCGAAAGGCATCCCTGAAGACTCGCAGCCGAGAGGCAGGCCAACTCAAATGTGCACCAAAGCCGAGTGAATGTCCGGGGCGTCCACAAAACCATGAGGTTCTTGGACTTGGCCAAAACGCCAGCAAGACCCATGATGCCCTGTTGCTTAAGTTCAGGGTCATGCTGGGCAATACACAGCCGATCCAGAAACACCACCGTGCGCAGTTGCGGAACCAGACTTTGCACACGTTGCCAGAAGCAGAAAACCCCCATAAATGTCAAATACGTCGCCGCGCTTGCTGTTTGCCAGCCACCTGCTTGGTGCAAGCCCAACACTAAAGCCTCCAAGCGATAACATGGAGGCTTCTGATTTTCGGCCTAAAATCATGACCAAAACTATTCCTTGGGCTTCCTCTTATGATTGTGGGTATTCTCCAAAGTGGGACCCCTTGCAGAATCCCAAAGAGAGCCCATCAATGTAGATCCCTGACGAAGTATTAGGATCCCCCTTGTAATCCCTAGTAAATAAAGGATGATGACGCATCAGGGTTCTACATAATGAGGACCAGCCATCCCAGATGGGCCCTGATTCAGGGATCACCCTGCGTTTCGAATCAAGGTCTCATCCGTCGCTCTGTTCTAGAAGGACACGAACTCGGAAACATGTCGCTGGGCTTGCCGCCTAAACCCCAAAGCCCGAACCCAAAGCCCGACCCCGTAAAACCCTAAAATACCATGGTGGTTTGTTTCTGGGACTGCTACTAGCAGCTACTCAGCAATCACCCCATACAAGTCTTAACCATGGGCCATCAAGCGGAGAACCCTGTACATTCCTACAAACCCTTTAAAAAGACAAGAATTCCACAATTAAGGCATACTGGGCTCTCGGTGCACCTGGAAGCCGATGGCCTAGGAGAAGCCCACAAGTCAGGGCATTCACCACCGAGGCAGCCAGTGCCGCTGGCACGCTGTTGAAGGTCACCTGGTTTAGGGTGCGGGTGTAACCGGGTCTTGGGAATATTATACTATAATAAGGAACACAAGCGTGGTAGTGAGAATAGAAAATTACGCCATAATAGAGAACCTTAAAGCGGTATTAGCAAAGTTTTCAGGTTTCGACATCAGGTTCTGGATTCACTCGCAAAGCCCTGAACCCTAAACCCTAAGCCCCTAAACCCTAAACCCTAAAACCCTACAACCCCTAAAACCCGAAACCCGTAACCCTAAACCCTGAACTCTCAAAGCTCCTGGGTCGAGGAGTCGTGGGGCCCAGGTCCGAGGATTCGGGATTTTGAGGCTTAAGGTTTAGGGCTTTAGGGCTTTTTGGGTTTAGGGTCTTCGGGTCTTAGGGATTTAGTGTTTAGGGTTGTAGGGTTTAGGCTAGGGTTTTGGGGTCTAGGGTTTAAGCTTCAGGGCCTGGGATTTCGAGTTTAATTTCGGGGTTCGGGCTTCGGGTTTCGAGGGCTGAGGTTTTGACCTTTGAGGTCCATGTAGAGCTTTAGGGCTCAGGCTTGGGATTCAGATCCTCTTCCGGATGCACATGCCAGGCCCTGCGATTTGGGAGTTGGGTCTGCGGCCCCCAACCCTGAAAACCCACTCGAGACCCGGACACTGAGGCCAGTGCCAGTCAGCTACAACGTTCAAAAAACTCTGCAGGCCAACAGGGATCGGGCCTAAAGAACAACTATATGAACCAGCAACCTACCCTTCGAAGCAAATCTCGACATAGAAAAGCCCGGACACCAGCAAAGCCAGAGTCTTAGACCAGCGAGAGGTCTGCCAGTCGTGGCTAAGGAAGTAATCAATGCTGTCGGTTCGATGACCTCATTGCAGATTAAGAGTTTAGGGTTTAGGGGTTTCTTCGCGGATTAACAGAGGGGCCTTTATAGTCAGAATAGGTTTTGGGGGTATGTGTATTGTATAATTATAATAAGGCACCCCCCAAAATGGGAGTATTGGCAATTATTTGGGGCCCTTTGTTAGGGTTTTGAAGTTTGGGTATCAGGCCTTCTGCTTGGTTCGAGGTTTGGGGGCTTCAGGTCGTAAGTTTGAAGTCCAGGGCTCTACGAGGCTCCGAAACAATGTTGTCGGCTTCATCGTGGAGTCAAAACACAGGAAGGCCTAAGATCTTCGGGTTTGGGTTTCAGGTTGAGCGTTGCCGGTGTGCTGTTGAGGATTTGTGGAATGTAGCACATCCAGGTTAGGAACCAGGGTTACGAGGTTTGGTTCGAGTGCTGCCAAGCCGTCGTGCTGCAACTGGAAACAAAAAGCATTGAAACTCATATCCGAACCAAGATCCCACCCTGTTGCCGCACTCTGCCACTCAATTCGCTGGCCCGGTAACTGAGTGATTGGGGAGGCATATTTGGACCCAGAACAATTTAAGGTCGCCTAAAAGCAACTACGACGACGGTAAGCCCTTCACCCTCAAGCTTGAGACGCCGAAAGCTTGCCCTGAATCCCCAAAACTACGAACCCCAAAAATTGCAGTGTCTACGGTTTCAGCTTCTTTGTTGGACCAGACCCCTGAAAAGACCCGGTAGGAAACGCGTAGAACACGTCTTCTTTAGAGAACATTCAGACCGAGACCCCGAAGACCAGGCAGGCGGCTCAGTGAAAAATCATCCGTATCAGACTGCCGAAAATGCTTTCCTGAGGGTGTACGGTTTGAGGCTTTAGGGTTTAGGGTTTGGGACTGTCGGGCTCGACAAAGGTTCAAGAGGGGTCTCTATGCGGCGTCTTTTGAGGCTCGATGCGGCTAAACAATATGAAAAGAGTGCTTTTTGAAGGTTCAGGGGTTTCGGTGCTGAGGATGCCGCAGATTTGGTTGGGTTTAGGCTTTTTGGGTTTGGGGTTTACGACTACGGGTTGGCTTTCATAAGGTTTAAGCTTCAGGGCTTCGGTTTTCTATGTTCTTGTCATCTACGGAGTATGTTTCGAGGTTCTGAACAACACACATCTACACAAGGGACACATTTTCCACAATTAGTGCCTAGAGGCCGCAGTACCGCAGGCACAGATCCAACGAGATTCCCCTGAGCATGTCAGGTGGCAGCTCGGAAGCCAATGATGTTTGAGATACCTCAGTATGGAAGTGCACCAAATCAGCCGCACGGAACAATGAAAACAATGGAATCAAACTACAAAGTATAAGCCCTAAACACTTTCAGCAAGAAAACACAATCACTGGTTCTCTACCAATGTAGATCCGGGAAGTATGTAGGACTACCGCTGCCCTTCCTCCTCTTCCTCCTCCTCCTCCTCCTCCTCCTCCTGCGTCTCCCCCTCCTCCCCCTCCTCCTCCTCCTGCTACTGCTGCTGCTGCTGCTGCTGCTGCTGCTGCTGCTGCTGCTGATGGTTACAATGATACTGGCCATTGGCCTGGCCAAGTTGTCGGTGCCGAAGTCCAACATTATTCCCAGCATCAAGCCCATAAT